AATAGGACTTGTGATATCTGACAGAATGTAATTCGGACCCGTAGGTAGGGAGTTAGAGCCGAATATGTCCTAAACTTAGTCAAAAAAGGGCATTTCGGGGTGAAAATTCAAAATAGCCCTTGAACCACGTGTGACTCTCACGAACAACTTCCCTATGACAAATAAGACTTGTGACAACTTACAGAATATAATTCAGACCCGTAGATAGGGAGTTAGAGCCGAATACGCTCTAAACTTACTCGAAAAAGGGTATTCCAGGGGGCGAAAATTTAAAACAGCCCCCGACCCACCATGTGGCTCTCACAGGCAGCTTCTCCATGACAAATAGGACTTGTGACAACTGACAGAATGTAATTTGGACCTGTAGGTAGGGAGTTAGAGCCGAATACGTCATAAACTTAGTCAAAAAAGAGCGTTTCAGGGGTGAAAATTCAAAACAGCCCACGAACCACCGTGCGACTCTCACAGACAGCTTTCCCATGACAAATAAGACTTGTGAAAACTCACAGAATGTAATTCAGACCCGTAGGTAGGGAGTTAGAGCCGAATACGCCCTAAATTTAGTCGAAAAATGACGTTTCGGGGGCGAAAATTCAAAACAACCTCCGACCCACCGTGTGCCTCTCATGGACAATTTTTCCATGAAAAATAGAACTTGTGACAATTGACAGAATGTAATTCGGACCCGTAGGTAGGAAGTCAGAGACGAATACACCTTAAACTTAGTCGAAAAAGGGCGTTTTGGGGGCGAAAATTCAAAACAGCCCTGAACCACCGCGTGACTCTCATGGAAAGCTTCCCCATGAAAATAGGACTTGTGACAATTGACGGAATGTAATTCGGACCCATAGGTAGGGAGTTAGAGCCAAATACGCCTTGAACTTAGTCGAAAAAGGGCGTTTCGGGGGCAAAAATTCAAAACAGCCCCTAAACCACCGTGTGACTCTCACGGAAAGCTTCCCCATGAAAATAGGACTTGTGACAATTGACAGAATGTAATTCGGACCTGTAGGTAGGGAGTTAGAGCCAAATACGCCCTAAACTTAGTTGAAAAAGGGCATTTCGGGGGCGAAAATTCAAAACCGCCCCCGAACTACCGTGTGACTCTCACGGACTGCTTCCCAATGAAAATTAGGGCCTTTGAGAATTGACGGAAAGTAATTTGGACCCGTAGGTTGGGAGTTATAGTCGAATACGCCTTAAACTTAGTCAAAAAGGGGCGTTTCGGGGGCAAAAATTCAAAACAGCCCCCGAACCACCGTGTGACTCTCATGGACAGTTTCCCCATGACAAATAGGACTTGTGACAACTGACGGAATGTAATTTGGACCAGTAGGTTGGGAGTTAGAGCCGAATACGCTTTAAACTTACTCGAAAAAGGGCGTTTCTAAGGCAAAAATTCAAAATAGCCCCCGAACCACCGTGTGGCTCTCATGGACAGCTTCCCCATGACAAATAGGACTTGTGATAACTGACGGAATGTAATTCGGACCCATAGGTTGGAAGTTAGAGCCAAATACGCCTTTAACTTACTCGAAAAAGGGCATTTTGGGGTCGAAAATTCAAAACAGTCCCCGAACCACCGTGTGGCTCTCACGGATTGCTTCCCCATGACAATTACGACCTGTGACAACTAACGGAATATACTTAGGACCCGTAGGCTTGGAGTTTGAGCCGAAAACGCCTTACACTTAGTGGAAAAACTCGCAACACTTAGTTTAAAGAGCGACAACTTTATGAAAATAACATCTACATATTCTAATAATTGTCTTTATATATTTATAGGATGAAGAAATTACATATTAGATTGTTTATGCAGTTGGTTGGAATAAATATTGCATGATTCATATATATATGTGTGTGTGCTTTTTTTTATTTTCAAGAAGACATTTCTCGATTGTTCTACCTTAAATGCATGTTAGAACATGTTCTTTATGGCTGACTGGATTGATATTATGTAACAAATTCTAATGTTTTGTTTTTTGTTTTTTTTTTTTTGTAGATGGCTTTATTGCGTGGACTTAGAGAATGAGATCATCTGTTCCAAATTTTTATAATTACATTACCTAATTAATTTTAAATTAAAAATTAAATCTATGTAAAATTATGCAACTGTATAATACACACAAAAATCAAGTGCATGTGTAGTGTTCATTTTCCAACTTTAAGCAGTTTTGCATGTACATGAAATGTCTTAATGCATTCTTATTCATAAAATCACGTTTTTCAAGATTTTTGGGGTTCGTTTGGTTTGTATTTCTGAAAAATTTTTGGGAAATTTTCTCTACAAATAAGTTTTTAAAAGTAATCAAACCAAACAAATTTTTCCAAAAAAATTTCTCAAAACTTGTAAACCAAACAAGTTTTCCAAACAAATCTCTCTCTCATACACATCAAATCAATCACTTTTTCCAAAACTCTCTCTCAAAATAATTTTCCAAAACATCTTTTGAAAAAAACCAAACCAAACAACTTTTCGTACTTTTTATCTCTAAAACACATCTCTCAAACACAAACCAAACATACCCGTTTTTTGAGATTCTCACATGATATTATGATTGTATATATATTGGGACAAAGTGATAGGAAGATTTAGAAATAAAAGATCTGACCCGAGTTTAATGACATGAAAGCACCATGATTTAATGCACATCTAAATTTGATAAAGAAGAGAATAAAGAAATTAATAAAAAGTTTGTGTAAGATAAAGCAAAATACCAGGGCTGTTAGGCCAAGTTTGGAAAGACTAAATAAGTGCACTTTTTTACTTTTCTTGTATTATGTGTAGAAAAAATATAGAGGAGATGTTGATTGATGTGACCCAAAAAAGATAAAAAGATGAAATAAGTACACTTTTTTAGTTTAGCCAAACTTAGCCTTAGTATCAGCAATGCAGAAGTCTTGCAAAGGACTAGGTTCAAAGGAATGGGCAAGAGAGCAAAAACTAATCAGAGCTACCAAAGTCAATAACTGAGATTTGATTTCCATCTTGAAAAATGCCTTTTTCTCAGTTTTTGTAACTAATAAAACTAAGAAATATTAGTGGTATGCACACAAATGCAGAACTTAGAGCATGAGTGTAGAGATGTGAAAAGCAAACATGGGTTAGGAGAGTTGGATGATAAAGTTATTATTTTACTTGTCTTTAATTTTAATGACTTGCCATCCTAGAAAACAGAAGAAATCTGCATAGGTACTCAACTTCCCTAATTGGCCGCTTTTATTATTAGTAATACTTGGTTTGGGATTCTCTATAGGATATGAAAACATAGACTAATTTTCACATTCCCCTCTTATCTTCTGGGACTCATTATCCCACCGCTTATTTCAAAAATAATTTTATTCTCCTTTTATCTTGTGTGCCAATTACGTGTGACCTTCTGATGTACAACCACATAAATAATAAATATAGATAATATAGTGATTAATTCTTTAATCAAATTAATCAGATACACCTTGAAATTAAGTTAAACTTAGATCAAACAATAAAAATTAAGATAAACGGCAATGAGATTACAAAAATTTCTTCTTTTTTTCTTTTGAAAAAAAGAAAGTCTTAAAAAAGTTGAAGAACATTTCTTGGGTTGAAGACAAGCCAGCTCAGTTTTTGAGTCAAAAGGCAGAGATGATCACTTTTGCTTGTTAGTTTTGCAATTGCTTTTGCATTCCATCTTTTTTATAATTCATCACCTAGAAATTTAGTATTGGTTGGTAGAATAAAAATATTTTGAAAGTGATTGTGCCTGAGTTAAATCTGATTTAAATATTTTGTATTGTTTAGTTCTTTATAAATCCTCCAAATGGCAACAAAATTTTTATTTTTAAATATATATATATATATATATATATAATTTGTTTTTCTTTAACATTTTTCTTGTTGGAAATTTAAAAGAGTTACAATTTCAAAACATGAAGAAAAGCCCTTGGTACTTTTGCAAAACAGAAGCAGAATCCGAAATACAAAAATTTATTGTAGTAAACCAAACAACTCTGTTCTGAAAAAGCAAAACAATATTTATAAATAATAGAAATGAGGATTGTAACTGGAAAAATTGAAATTGTATAACTTATAGAAAATATATTGTAGAATAGGAAAACAGATGAATGATTAAGGCTATCATTTGACGCTATATCCTTGAGACAGAATTCATCCCTCGCACTGGTGCTTATTTATTTTCGAATGCCTATCACCTAAAATACACTGATCAATGCGTACTAAAGAAGCACTTTTGTCGATGTGTTCAGTGAATCAACTGAGTTGATCTGATTAATAAAGTTATTCAAAATTTCATTGGATAATTTAGTAAGTTTTTATTAAACATATTTAAGTTTGGCTTATTTATTAGTCTAATTGAGTTGAGTTTGAATAACTTAAATTTTTATAATGTATATAAACTCATCAAATTATCAAGTAATAAGTGTTATTTATCTTTTCTGTCTAATTGAGTTGAGTTTGAATAACTTAGATTTTTATAATGTTTCTAAACTCATCAAATTATCAAGTAATAAGTGTTCAAATTTAAATTGAAAATATGAAAGGTATAGGGCACTGGGCCATAAATTTAATTTTGAAACTTTGGGGGCAACAACTCCAAGCTTTAAGTTTTCAGGGCCATAAAAATAATAATAATTTAAAAGATCATATTATTTTAACCTATGTCTCCATTATTTTACCTATTTGTTTAGTGTCACCTATTATTTTTTTTATTCAAACGAAACTATAACTAATTTTTTGACTTTTGTAAAAAAAAATATAATAATTATAAATTAGATATGATATTTTTCTTATTAATTTATTTAGCCTATTTATCATTTTGTACTTTTTTTTTAGCCCAAAAATAATAGCCAAACCAGAGTTGAGTATCCTAATTTTTTGGTTTTGGCTTTTATCTATCTTAAAAAAATAAAAAAATAAAAAATAATGATCTAACAAAGGGGACTTAAGAAAATATTGACTTGACTTGCCTTGCCTTGTTATTTATTTATATGTAGAGAGTGAATCAGGCTTTTGAACTCCTCGATGGAAAAAACCCTTTGAACGCAACCATTTTGAAGTCTGCCCTTTTTGTACCTAATTTGAACCATAGTTGCTTGAAAAAATTGATTTAAACACCATAGTTGGAGGGACTAGAAGGTCACCGATTGATTTCTCAGAAAAATGGCCGAGGAATTTTTCTCGTATTTATCTGACGATTTCAAGGAATATATGTTCAAGGAACTCAACTGGTTGCTCTCAAAATATTTCTATGGAGTGGTTTTCTGGAGCCGAGAAGACGACGAACCCCAACGTCCTTCTACTCTCCCCGACGGCGGTGAGTTACTCCTATCTCTCTTTCTTTATTTATTATGATTATTATTTTTAGATTTGAATATTTATTTATTTATTTATTTTATAGTTTAGTCGTTTCAAGTCAATTTAAATCAATAATATGTTACCTTGTTTTGAAATCAATCCTCTCCTGAAATTTGTTTGTTTTTATCAGATATTTCCTACTTAAACAAGATCATCAGAGATTTGCTTTACACAATTATGTACGGTGTCTATGGGCCTCCTTATCCGGTACTAATTCAATTTTGGGCACCCATAACAACAAAAGAGGGCCGGTCTTTTCTTACAACTCGAAACCAACCTTTCTCTCTAACGTATAATCCACCTGATATGGAAGGATTTTTGGGGTATAGGATGATCTGTATGGATTCTAAATTTGACATTGATTTGGATGGGGGGAAGACTTGTGAACAACACCTTCCTGCCCGAGTGTTCAAGCATCAATTCCCCGAATCCACTCCTAATGTGGAGTTTTACTCTATCACTGAGTATCCACAGCGTCACGATGCTCTACGTTGCCGAGTCCGACATTCTTTGGCTTTCCCAGTCTTTGAATCTTCTACCCAAAGGTGTGTTGGCGTAATTGAAGTAGTGACACCAGAGAAAGACCTCAGTTGTAGCCTCTATTTTGAGTACAGTATATATAAAGATTTTGAGGTTAGTCCCCCACTCACTCACAAATTGGCATTTTCAATATCTTGTTAATATTGATTACTCATTACATTCTCTCTCTTAGAACATCTACAGTGGTGTGGTGTGTTTGTTTGTGTAATAAGTTGGTGGGGGTTTGCCCTGTTCAAAGAGAAAAATAATGCTTTAACGCAAGTGTTAAACACTCTGTTAAATTTGTCATATGTTTGTTAACTATGCTCGGAGGGGTTACCACACAAAAGAGTAAACCACATTCTCATTTTTCTAGATCATAAGTGTTTTAAAACACTCATGTTTGGATGGCAACAACAATTCAATGACGCATAATAAGAATCTTATGTCAAGTCTCTTTCATTTCGTTGTTTGAATGTGTTCTAAAATGAGAGTGCAATTCCTAGTTCGGTTCCCAAACTGGAATGACATTACTACACTAAGGTAGTGTTTTGTTGGTTGGAATGATTGTAGGCTTGAATAGAATGGCTAGTAATCTTTGGCTTTCCAAATTGGAGAATATGGTGATTTCATTTCCAAATTTCCAATGTATATTCTTTCCTTTTTATTGAACCAAACATGATAATAGATATTACGATGGACTGAATTTTTTCCATTATAAAGTTTTTTATATGCGTCCTTTTATTTGCAAAATATTATTCTACATTTCAAAGTTTATGAGATTCCTCAGTTGCATCTTTCCATTCCCTGCAGAAGTTTGGTCTGAAATGTTCAGTTGTATTTGATCACGAGGCCATGGAATTAGTAAGTGGCAAACTATAATGCAATGTCAAACTTGGTTTTTTTATTTTTCTTAAATTAATAGGGTGAGGAATATTTGCTTACTAATACCTGGATGTGACAATACTTTCAAACTAGGATGACGACAAAAATGAAGCTCATAAAGTTGCCTTCGATGAAATCAAGAACATGTTGAAAAGGGTATGTGATGTTCATGATGTACCTTTTGCTCAGGCATGGGTCCCATGCAAGATGGGTTGCCCATGCAGGGCTCTGGTTGATGGTGGCATCCTTCATGCAAGTTGTTGTTACAAGAAAGTTGATTATGGTGAAGATGAAGATGGCTATGACTATGATGAAGATGACTATGGTGAATATGATGATTTTCGTCATGTCAGTTCTCTGTCTCACTCAAAGAATGGGGTGGGGGTTGTTGGGAGAGCACTTTTGTCCACTAATATGGTATTCTGCAGGGATGTAACTCAACTTAGCCTAACTGAGTACCCGTTGGCACACTATGCACGAGAGGCTGGATTAAGTGGTTGCTTCGCAATATGCTTGGAGAGCAATTGCACTGGAAATGATGTTTACGTGCTAGAGTTTTTTATGCCGATGAGCAACAATGCCAGTGAAAACCCACATACCTCATTAAGGAAAATATTGGAAACAATGAAGAAAAATTTGTCTTGTTTTAGGGTTGCTTCTAGAGAAGAACTTGGGGAAGAATTACATATTGAAGAAATTAGTATTCAAAATGGTGAGAAACTTGATCCTGTTCAAATCCCCCAAACCACTATATCTTTGCCTCGGCTGGAACTCTCACAAAGTAAAGTTGCGGTAATGCAAGTGGATTCATCAGATCAACAATTAGTGAATGCCATAAATACTGGAAGCAATGCTGGCGGTACAGAACATAGCAACTTTGCTATTGCTTGTACGCAAGAGAAAAGCACAGTAAAAGTGTCAAAAATGAAAGGCAACAAATCTGGAGGCACAGTAAAGGCGTCAAAAAGAGAAGGCAACAATAAAATTAAAATTCCGCTAGAGGATATCCTACAAAATTCAGCATTGAGCCTTGAGAATGCTGCAAAAAACCTCAAAGGTATGCTTGCACTTTCTTAAATTAAAATGTAATGTTACTTGTGATGTCCGTAGTTATTTCAACTAGATGGACTCTTCTGATAGAGAATATATATTAAGCTTTTTGCAGAAACAAATAGAAAGTAAGTTCTCTTATTTTGATTTTTCCTTTCGCAGTTAGCAAATCTACATTGAAGCGTGTATGTAGGCCTTATGGTGTAAAGAGGTGGCCACCTCACATAAACAAGGTTGGTTGCTCTCAACTCGATGAATCTGCCCCTTGTGTTAATTCTGATCATCTGCCTTCTACTCAATCCCTGGCTACTATTGTTCACACCGAGCCATATGATACAACGATGCAAGATGCGAATATTGTGACTATAAAAGCAAAATATGGAGAAGGTGTTACAATCAAATTTCCTCTGTCTTTGTCATCAAGTTTCCTACAGTTGCAGCAAGAAGTGGCTAAAAGGCTAGACTTAAAGGCTGGAACTTATTATGTCAAGTACGAAGATGAGGACGGTGAGTTGATTTTAATAGGTTGCGATGAGGACTTGCAAGATTATATGCACGATTCTAGATCGCTGGGCAGAAGTTCTATTGTGGTATTGCTTGAGCAAAAGTTGCCAATTACTGATCATAAAAAAGAAAAAATAAAAAAGTTGCTAATTACCCACAGAACAACTTGAATCTTGCTAAATAAGCACTTCTTGTTAAATTGGCTTAACTTTACCTAGTGGGTGTTTGGGAAGTAGTTATTTTAGTAGGGTATTTTAGTTTTTGACTATTTTAGTAGGTTGAATTTTTTGTATTTGGAAAGATAGTTAGATTTTTTTGTAATTGGATATGATGTTTGTGAGAGAAAAACTGAAATGATTATGGTTTAATGTGACATTTTATCTTATTGACTATTTTAACCTATGTTGTCATTTTGTAGATTTTAAACCAAAAAATCAAAAAAAAACTTTGCCAAACACCCCTAATGTAGGTAGTTATTGTGGTATTTCTTTTATCAACAATGATAGAGATCACTAATTTTGGAGCTCTAAAAAGACCACTAATGACATGGCACTCAATAAAAAAAGAAAAAAAATACAACACCAAGGCCAAAACATTAAATCATTCTTGGTAAGGCCCACTACCACATCATTAGTGATAGCACTAATTAGTGCTCTCACTCATTTTCCTTCTTTTATTCATTTGCTTTAGTAGGGTATTTTAGTTTTTGACTATTTTAGTAGGTTGAATTTTTTGTATTTGGAAAGATAGTTAGATTTTTTTGTAATTGGATATGATGTTTGTGAGAGAAAAACTGAAATGATTATGGTTTAATGTGACATTTTATCTTATTGACTATTTTAACCTATTTTGTCATTTTGTTGATTTTAAACCAAAAAACCAAAAAAAAACTTTGCCAAACACCCCTAATGTAGGTAGTTATTGTGGTATTTCTTTTATTCATTTGCAAATTTACTTGAAGATATGCATTTATCCCATTGGTTATTACTCTCCTGAAGGGGTTTGTTTTTTTTTTCTCCCAATGATTTGGTGGTAATGTTTCCCCAAAGATCAGTACTAACATTTTAAAATTTGGATAAATTATAAATATACATTTTGATATTTGTTTAAAATATGAATTGTTTCTTGTGATTTAGAAAATTACAAATATCTCTTTATTAGAATTTTTTATTTAACAGAATTAATTGAAAAAGTGAAATTTTTAACTGTTCACCTATACAATAATAAAATTATCTAAATTATTAATTGAAATGAAATTTTAACATTATTAAAAATTGTTAATTAACTTAATAATTTATTAATAAAATGACTTATTTGTTATGAAATTAGAAACTTTGAGAAGTATAATGTAATTTTTAAAATTGCAGAGAATAATTTGTAATTTAAATAAATCTTAAGAGATGTGTTTATAATTTATCTTTAAAATTTATTTATTTTTATTTTGGCTAAGGTTTGTCTCCAATTCACGAGTGCAATCCAAGTTGGGGGTGAGCAGGTGAGCAGGTCAGTGACCCAACCAACTCAACACTGACCTTATTAAAAGGAAAAAAAGTGTAATGATGTCAAAATTATAGAATTTGTTATATATATATATATATATATTTTAAGCTTAAGAAAAGTTAGTGTAATTTACTCATTATAATATGGTATAGGGTAAATTTTAAAGGGTTGGTTTAGTGGGTGCAACTTAAGGTTTAGGAATGTGTTCTTTTTAAGTCTCAAATTCAACTCTTATTAAGAGCAATTTGTTCTTTGGAGCCATGCTTCTGAACTCTGTCTGAGATTTATTTGATCTACGTAAAGGGGACGCTTTGCGTGGATAAGTTAGTCCAGATATTTGGTCCAAAAAAAATATGGAATAAAGTATTAGTCGTAAGTTAGCCTAGATATTTAAAGTTAGCCTAGATATTTGATCATAAAAAAAAATGGTATAAAGTATTTGTCGTAAGTTAGCCGAGATATTTAGTCATAAAAAAAGTGATACAGAATATTAGTGGAGGGAAAAAAAATGGTATAGAGTATTTTTCTTTGTTAAATAAAAAGAGGGGAAAAAAAAAAGTGTGGTATTGTACACACTAATATGTACAAAAATCCATACATAATATGTGCCCTTAAAAAGACTCATTAAAATTATTTATAATTTTTTAAAAGTGCCACAATGATTTTTATGTATGATTTTTTATTTATTTATAAATCATCTATCTATATATTATTATAATTATAAAATATTGTCATCCCATTAAGATTGAAAATTGTAATTCTTTTTTCTTAATTTTTTATTTTTTTAATTTTTATTAATACGTGTCACAATATAATTGGTCTATAAATTAATTTTATATTCTTAAAATAAAATTTCAAATTTGAATTCTTACTTAATTAATGTTACTATAATTGGAATGTAATCAATATTCATTCCTTAAATCATGCATCTTTTATTAAATTATAAATAAAATTTCAAATTTAAATTCTTCTTCAAATTATATTATTATAATTAGAATAAGATCAATATTCACATGTATCATAATATTATTGGTCTAAATGTAATTTGTTTTAAAAATACATGTTCAAATTATGAATCGCTATTAAAAAAATTTACTTTTATTTATTTTCTTTTTTAGTTTTAAATTTTATAAAATATATATATATATATATATATATATCCTTCTAAACTATAAGGATTTGAACAATAATATTTTTTAATAAATTTTTCTTTTAATAAAAGACAAAAATATTAAGAAAATGAATGACTTTTTTAGTATTTGCCAAACATGGTGGATTTTGTTAAATTTTTTTATCTCAATCGTCAATTAAGCAAATTAAAAAAACATTAAAATATATTTGGCTTTTAATAGCTAAGAAGTGACTTTTTGCTAAAATAAAATAGAAATAAATGTTATTTTTTTTTTAATAAAAAAATGGGAGTTACATGTGATAATTTATAATTCATTTAGACTTTTTTAGCACTTGCCAAATATGGTGGATCCTACTAATTTTTTTTTTAATCTCAATTGACAATTAAACAAACTAAACTAAAAAAATAAAAATATTTTTGGCTCAAATTGCTAAAAAGTAACTTTAGCCAAAACAAATTAGAAAAAAAAACATTTTTTTAAAAACAAAATAAAATTAAAAGTGATGATTAGAAAAAAAACATTTTTTAAAATAGAAATAAATGTTATTTTTTTTTTAATAAAAAAATGGGAGTTACATGTGATAATTTATAATTCATTTAGACTTTTTTAGCACTTGCCAAATATGGTGGATCCTACTAATTTTTTTTTTAATCTCAATTGACAATTAAACAAACTAAACTAAAAAAATAAAAATATTTTTGGCTCAAATTGCTAAAAAGTAACTTTAGCCAAAACAAATTAGAAAAAAAAACATTTTTTTAAAAACAAAATAAAATTAAAAGTGATGATTCATTAAACCTTTTTTTAATTAAAAAAAAATGTTATAGGTGATAATTTACTGTTCACCTAGAATTATTTTCAGATTTTATGAGAATATTATATTAACTTTTCTTCTTACGCTTTTTTTTTTATTTAAATACTTTTATTTTGTAAGAAACTTATTTTTATTCTATTTAATATTTTATTGTAATTTTTAAATTAAAAAAAATTCCGAAAAACCATATTTAAATTATTTTGTGCCATTATAAAAAGTAATTTTTTTTTACTATCAACTCATTTTTTTTAATATTTTCAAGAAAATTTCTGTTAGAAAATCTTAAATGTATTGCTTTAGCTTTTGTTCAATAATATTAAATTTTTAATTAATTTTATTTATTATTTAAAAAATCATTAGTAAATAATTTCATATATTTATATATATAATTTTGTTTTGTTGCTCAAGTTAGTTGGTATCTCTGCACAAGCCTATTCAAATTTAATTTAAAATTTTTAATTTCTGCATAGGTTCTCACTAGGGGTGGGCGCGGGTCGGTTGCGGCCACGAAACCTCCAATCCGTCATCTGTCCGCCAGATTAGCGGATTGAAGAAAATCAATCCGCATCCGTCCACCAATCTGACGGATGTGGATTGAGCGGATTGGCGGTTTGGCGGATGGATGGGAATCGGTTTGGCGGTTTAAATTTTTTATAAATTTTCAACATAATTCAACTTGTGCACTTCCTCAAAAAAAAAAAAAAAAGTATTACAGTCAATGACTTAAAAAAGTATTACAATCACTATATGCCTTATCCAAAAAAATAAAGTTTGAAACTTTTGAATATCACGATCACTGCATGTCTCATCCACATATTATAATCATAGCATGATTCATCCACATAAAGTATTATAATCTGTGATTTTTAAAATATAATAACAATTCAAACCACCAAAACCATGAACAGAGCAGTAGTAAAGATTGTATGTCTCTGTATTGTTATATCCATATATGTTTTTGAAAAGAAAAACCAACCAGCATATATCATATTTTCTATTTATTATTTTTAGAGCTAGATTTAAAAAAATATATATAGATAAATAATATGTTTATTTTTTTCAATTCAAAAAATATATTCAAGTAGAAAACTTTTTTTCAACAGAATATTTAAACTCTTTTTTAATTGAAAACACAAACATAATATTTAAACAAATTGAAAATACAAAGTCTTATAAATTATTAGGGGTGCTTGCGATTTGGCAGCTTGGCGGTTCGGTTGCGGCCAAAGAAATCTCAAATCCGCCATCCGTCCGCCAAATTGGCGGGTTGGAGAAAATCAATCCGCAACCGTCCGCTCGTCATCACGCATCCGTCCAAAATGCAGCGGATCGGTTCGGTTCGGTCGGTTTTGACGGATCGGTATATCCGCTGCTCACCCCTAGTTCTCACTTAATTAAAAATTAGGTTATTCTAGCAAAGGGGTTGAAAGTTGCATGATTGAATTTGTGACAAATTAAAAATTAATAAATAAATTATGATAAATTTATGGAACTTAAATTGTAAATTTCAATATTCTTTGTTTTCATAATTTGCATACAAAAATTTAACTATTTATATTATTTTTTATAAAAATATATTATTAATTTTAGGAAAAATTAGTCTAATATCTCTCTCCAACTTTTGGTTGTAAGAGAGGTCCATAATATTTTTTTTTTTTGTAACTTAAGGTCCCTCGCCCATTTCTTCGCACTAATCCACTCAACTCTCTATACCGTTTAACTCTTTCATGTAGATGTAAGCGCAGAGATAATCAACCAAAGCTTCGGCGAGGAGTCCCTTGAGCTCATTGAGCGCTTCAAGTCTAGATTGCATGTAGTGGAGACCGACGGGGTTCAACTTCAGAACTAGGGTTCCTTCGATCAAGGGATTCGATTGCTTCTCCATGAACTTCAC